GTGCCGGACAGCTGGCATGGGCCGCTGGTGCCACTCGTCCTGATCAGGCGTTTCTAGCGTCTTATCTGCAGGGAGTCCAGTCCCAAGGCACTGTTGCACATGTAGAGATGTATAATAAATCACTTCGTGAAATGAAGGAAAGAAAGCTAGTCTTAAGATTTCCAAGCAATATTCCTATAGACCAGTGGAGAATACTGTGCATCAGCGATGCTGGTTGGAAGAAACGTGCTAATGGAGATTCCCAGGGAGGCTTCCTTCTTTGCCTCACAAATCCGAAGATGCTGGCCAGAGAGCAAGCGCCTGTATGGTTGATCGATTGGGCAAGCAAAAAGCTCAAGCAAGCTATTCGTTCAAGTGTTGCAGCTGAGACCTTAGCTGGTCAAAATGGTTTAGATTCCATTGAGCTTTTGCAAGCATTGATTCTTGAAACATTGAAGGGAGTAACACCTCGAGAGTTTCGTGAAATCACACCGGACGAGCCGTCGTGTTTGGTGATTGACTCAAAAGGATTTTCTGATGCATGCAATAAAACCAGTGGTTCATCTACCACAAGCGCCGAGGAGCGTTTGCAAATAGATTATGCCATCGCCCGTGAGAGCATGAAGAAACAAAATATTTGGGTGATATGGATAAATAATCGGTACATGTGTGCAGATTGTTTGACCAAACTTAAGGGTGAAAGCACGCCACTGTTCGATTTGCTTGAAACCAACACATACCATATTAAGAAATGTAAGGTGTCAGGTCGCAAGGAACTTGCTGAAGAGCGAGCAGGTCAAACCGAGCAAGATTCGGAATAGCCACAAAGCTGTGCATGTTTTTCCTTTTTGTAGCTAGATGCTGGGGTGTCCACCGGAGACTTAGATTCGAACATGACCAAGTCATTTTTGTCGAAACGTCTTGAACCTCAGTGAGTGCCATAGTGCTTCCATCAAAAGAACCAAAAGAGATGGAAGGAGAGAATTCATTTGTTTTTCTTTGCCGTCGCCAGAAGGCGAGACTCAAGCCGTGTGATTTTCCTTTGTAAGTGCCATAGCCATGAGCAGCCATGCAATGGATGCTAAGAAGGTACGTCCTCAAGAGATGTACCCGCCTTTGAGCGCCGATGAAATCGACACAGCAGCAAGGCTGACCACTCGAGCCATCATGAACGGTCAACAGAACCAGATGTTCTTGATTGTTGGATCACTGGATCCCCGTGCTGAAGCTTGGATGATGGAGAAGACCCGGATCTACCAAGGATATGGTGGAACCAAGAGCGAGTCCGTGAAGCGCCCGCTCGATTTCAGCTTACTGGAGGATGCAGAATCCGCAAGCCCATCATCGGCATGGAATGAAGTGTCGTTGACGAGTGCCCGTGCATACCATGATGGACCAAGCGCCTCTGTTCCCATGCCCACGTCAAGTGGAGCCCTTCGCATGCCGGAGACCTCAGTCGAAGATGAGGACATGTCGGTCGAGCTACCAGCTGATGTGCATGATGTTGGAACATGGGGAAAGACCATCGTGAAGATGGAAGCCTATGCTGACCGCAACTGGCGGTACCGTCAGATTGTGGAGAAGGCCAAGTCGGACAAGAAGGTCCATGGATATTTGAGCTGGATTGTGAAGACCTATGGAAAAGAAAAGAGTGGACCCGTGAAGAATCAGGCCACCGACCTTGCTCGATTCCTGTTGCGCAGTCGCTGGACCGATTCCAAGGCAAGCTCCCTTGTCGGCTTTGAACGAAAGATGTGAAGGATTCGAAGCTGCATATGAAAGCCCCTCTCGGACAGAGGGCGTGTGAAATTGCCCTTGGAGTGCATTTCTTGTCAGGTGTCCTCACGTGGCCATATTGGCTGAAGGCCTTGAGCCGTTGTTCGGCTTGATCGGAAAAGGCGCGTGCCGCTATGTCGTGAGGTCTAGTGACCTAGGACCGGTTGCAGTTGATTGTGATCTACATTGACATTGAGTTGTTGGGTATTTGCTGCTACCAGTTCCGCATATATAATATATATATATATGTTCGAATTGCAAGGCTTCACTGCTTCAATACACTCAATGTCTCTGTAGTTCGATGCGTACAACTTGCGATCCCAATGCGACCCAGCTACCCCTTCCCTTGTGATGAGGGTAAGGAGCAAGAAAGACAAACCGCACTGACATGGCTCTATTTGCCCAAGGTGTGCTTCATGTATATTGAAACTCTTCAAGTGTGATCCTTCCCTCTCGCAGTCGCCAGGAGCTAGAAGAGAGGAGGCTGCTGTCTCGATTCGATTCTTAGGACATAAAATACATCTCTTTTACTACACCTTGGCACAGGACTAGCGACTAGTATTCTTTGCGATGCAGTAATGCGATTTGCTTCTCCATCCGCTCAGGAAACATCCAGAAGAATGATCTGTGGCGGGGAAACCACCACCTTGCAGCCTGTCCTGTTGCCATAATCCCAGGTGTATTCACCAAAGTCGTTGGAATCAGGGCAATCCACCCTGGCGTTGTCTAGCCAACACCACCTTAGCGTGTGGACAAAATCAATTCTCTCCTGGAGAACGTCTTCGTGAGCCTCTCATGATTTCAGGATAGTTGAAACCCTCTTGAACATTCAGAAAGAGTGAATATGAAATTCTAATCACGAAAGGTGTTCCCCGAGGGGATACATACCTAGAGTTTGTTTTGTGAAGCACGTCAATTCTCTCCTGGGGAGCGTCTTCGTGAGCCTCTTATGGTTTCAGGATCAGGAAGCCACAGCTCAACACAACTGTGTTTGTTCCCAACAGCCTTGATGAGTGATTGCAACTGCTTTCGCATGTGTGCGAGCCACGACAAGTGCATTACACAAAATCTGTAGGGAAATTGGCATCCAACATGTTCCAGGAGGATCTGACTTATGGGTTGATGGATCTCCAGCTGGTTTGAGAAGGTGGCTGAAATTTGAGGGAGTAAGCAGTGGAACTGCCTGCATACATTGTCCAAACAACAAGTTCAAGGACCCAGTCGCTTGCAGAGAACAAATGTTGGAACAATATGGAAAATGATGAACATGCATTTTCTGCAGCGCTTCCGGTCTCGCTAGCAGAATCCCTAGGCTCCGAGGCTTCTCGTGTTCTGCCGGTCGCAGCTTGGCCTGTGCTTGGTTCACCGAAGCACTGCTTACAAGAAAGGGGCTTTGAGACTTGAGGGCAGCCACTGCCTGGTAAGAGTAACAGGGCTCGACTGTCGACTGTCCTGAATTGTCCTCAAGGTGTTTCCTACCACATTTGCGGCGGCATTTATTTGGTACTAAACTCAAATACAATGTCGAATCTATTATGTTGGGGCCCTATCTCGTTCAGACTACTTAAGTAGGAGGTCATGTCACAGTATCTCGTTCAGACTACTTTAGTGTCATCAAGCAAAAGTATCTCGTTTATGTGGGGCCCTATCTCGTTCACAAGCGAATGCTGATGATAGACAAGCAAATAGAGCATGCCGTAGACCACTTTAGTAAAGCCTAAATAACAATGGTTGTTGACATGGTCTGCACCAGAAAATGCTTTCCGAGAGAATTCTTGGCCAAGTACACCTGAACAAGTGATTTTGTTTGTCGGGCAAGGCGGCCAGCCTCTTTCCACAAGGAATCGCCACGCTCAGATGCGTATGTAGCCGACACGCTTCTGGCCTGTCTTGATTGACAGGTACATGTCTCGCTGGAAGCAGGACCAAAGAATCTCCAAAAAAGGATGAACCGCAAAGTGTGTTCCACCAGGCGTTAGAATTGACGAAAGAGAAAAATGTGTGGCAATAGCATGCAACAGATATGGAACAATGTTGCACGCAAAGGAATATTGAATAAACGGAACCGGATCACAGGTGGATATAAGCGAGTCATCTCATCTGTCCAAGCTGTGCTACGGTCGTTTCAACACAACGTCGAACATGTATACAAACCATGCAGTCGAGTTATGAGTGGCCCACACCATGTTTCTACTTGGCACTGGGATCTGGGCTCCATTTTCCAAGGTCAAACACTCGTCATTGGCAAAATGCTCCCAGCCTCGGGCGGGTGAAATTTGCAAGCCTCCACCGGAATAGCGATGGCCTCCACCCTATATAATAGCAATGGCCTCCAACTTACTCTGTTGTTCTGCTCTTTGTGTCTTTTCTTCGTTCTTAAGGCCCTTTACACGTGTCTTTCTCCATGATCCACTTGAAACCGTGAATCACCATGAATTCCATCTTGTCCATGATGAAGCTCAACACTACCTGGTGCCTTGGTGCCCCCACCATCGAGGTACAAATACATCAGGTTGCTGGTCCTGAGGTGCATTTGTTGCATGGAGAAAAGGGGATGGTCTATCAAGCGGCATTGCAAACCGGGCATGCTTTTTTGGAGGGCCCATCTTCGTACCCCAGGTGAGAAGCCCACCGTAGTTAGTTGTTACAACCGCAGCTCGAACTTGGTTTAAGGATCTGCTCAGGTCGTGGACGTCTCTTACTTGTCGAGATAAGAAACCATTCTCCAAGAATGCCTTCCAGCTTGCTAAGCTCGCTTAAGGCCTTGAAATGAACTTCCCCTTGCAGGCCCTTTACTGCTACAAAAGAAGGCCCACTTTTCTCAACAAGAATGCTTGCAGAAGCAGCATCATGCGGCTAATGATCTAATGTATAGAAACGCGATGTGTTTTAGTTCATTTTAGTTCAGCATCTTGCTTTCTAAGGGGTGCAAACACCTCGATTTGCTTTGATTGGGGTCGATCACTGGTCTCCTTATCAAATGTAGCTAGTACATGCTGGTACCCCAACAGAAACTATCCGTGCATGCAAACTGCTCCTTTTTGTTGTTGTTGCGAACGCTCAGCCTTACTTGGAAGCAAGCACTGTGGACATGAAGTGACCTGGGGCCACCTGCTTGTTGTAGATCTCGATTTGTTCCTTGGATTTTTCAAGACAGAATGTGCAGACTTGAGACAAGTAGAACCCCCTTAAGCCTCGTCAAGCAAAAAAACACTGCATGCGCTACCTTTTCTTTTTTCTCAAATCTCATCATGCTTCAGTCACTGTCGGGTCTACAAGGATGTTGAAAGTGTTTCAGCTCATCTCGTCCAGAGTGGCCCCCAGCTTACCCGACCACAAAACATATAGCAAGTGGAAACACCTTGGAAAAGGAAAGGTGTTCTTCTGCGTTTACTTATATACTCCACAAATATGGGAGCCATCCTGCATTACATCCTTCTGTGACCCAGGCGGATGTCCCAGGAGTATCAGCGGTCAACTCTACGCAAAGCTGCACTGCTTCTCCTTCTTGGTCTCTGCAGCCTTGCGCTCTTCCTCAGCGGCCTTCTTCTATGCTCAGCCTGCGCCCGGGCCTTCCCTGCCTCTTCCTTCTTCTTGGCCTCGGCAGCCTTGCCCTCTTACTCTGCTTCTTTCCTCTTGGCTTCAGCCTCAGCACGAGCCTTCTCGGCTTCTTCTCTCTTCTTGGCCTCTGCAGCCTTGCGCTCCTCCTCAGCTGCCTGGTTTGGCTTCCACAGGAAGGCAGCCACAACCAAAGCCGCTGCCCAAGCAACAGGTCAAGGCACAATCTTCCCATACCATGGTGCCATCATTGCGAAGGATGATGTGAAGAATCCAGAAATCGTTCACAAGGATACAAATCCATCCTGTTCCATCTCTTTGGGATAGACCACTTCTTGGTTTCCAACGAAGATGTGCTGGTGCATCAAGTGTTCTGCAGAGAGAGAAGAGATGGAGATGTAGGGATTGGGTCTCGGAACTTGAGAAGCTCTCAACCTCGGCTTCCAGTGCTACCAGCATCCAATCCATGAAGGGGAAATCACTGACGTCAAACTCGCAATCAGAATCTCTCCCAACTGGAACTGAAAATGGCCCACATCGCTTTGGGTTGGCCGGATTGCTCCGGCAAAAGGACAGGAATGTCCACCTCAACCGTCAAGCCTCCAGGGACTTCTTGAGGAATCTTGATGTCGCTTGGCAACTTGACAAAGCCCGGAGTGTTGTAGAAGAGCTGGCAACAAGCATCCGCAGGCCAAATGACATTGCTCATGTTGGCCAAGGCCCAGTGCAATGTCTTTACCTGATGGTCAAACATGTCGAGACCCAGTATAGTGGTGGAAACTACCAAAATGAACAGAAAAAAATGTTCACTGTACCCTAGTCCAGGTTCTTATATTTGACCGATCCCCGATCCCCATCTCTCCTTGAAGCCCTTCTATGCAAGTCTCGGGAGCTTTCAGGATGACACAAGAAGGTATCTCCACTTCCTTCAAGCTTTCAAGACACACGATTGAAAGTGTAAAGACAAACCTTGGCTGGGTGATGAAAAAACTTAGGAGCTATCGTCTAGTGCCATCCTGGTATTGAAGAAAACATGTTTGCCCAACCCTGCGTCCTTCTTCTCCACTTGGAATTACAGAATCTCCCCAAAAGGCTGACCACAAGGCGTCACCAAAGCATAAGCTGCATGTCCTTCTCCCTTCAAGTCCAGCTCCAAATCCACTTCCAAGGTCTGCCCAGGTGCAGCTGAAGGTACTTCCATGATAGGCGTCACCAACACGGGACCACTCACCAAACAAAGGGTTGTACCAATAGGCCAAGGCGCTGTTCCATCATTCACCAACACCCAATGGACCACTGAACCGGGCTGATGAACCGATTCGTCTTCAGCGGGGATTTGCTTGGAGCTCAACATCCCAAGGTAGCTCTACCGAGATGGGAAGAGATCAAACACTGAGAGGGATGCTTTTGAGCCAAAGTGCTTATGTTACTCATGCAGTGAATCTTCATCAATCCCGCAAACACGCACGATGTCTGAATGTTTGAGTTTGGCATCAGCTGATGACACCTCATGACCATTCATCGCAGCCAAGCTATCTGTACAATTCATGACCAAACAAATGAAAGAATCAAATGGATCTGAACATGGTGAGGTGACTTGGGTGTCCTATGCCAGCTAAAGGAGAGGAACAGTGAGAACATACATTCAAAGTGAACACTCCGTGTCATTCCACATTCACCAAAAGAAATGTAATTTATTCAGATTTGGTGGAACAAAAAAAGCGCTACAAATGCAAACACGCAAACAAACAAAAAAGAGACCCATCTTGGGACCCACACACACAGGTACGGCCAATCACCATATGCCCCCTGGCATTATGGAACATTCAACTCCGGCTTTAATCCACACTTCTGGCTCATTACAGTAGTAGAGACTGGTGGACCTCACTGTAGAGAGTTGACTATGTTTCAGAGAGCCGTGCATCACCTGCGCATGCACTTCTTTGGCCATCCTGTCCAGCTGAGCAAGCCTGGGACGTGGCGTTAGAGCAGCAAACCCGTAACGCCGTACAACTCTTTGGATGTCGAATGTCAGCTATACTGAGGCTAGGGGCGATAATTAGAGGTACTCTGTGAGTGACATCTCAATCAAATCGAGCAAAAGCTCTCGGATCGTCTTCTATGCAGCTGCGTAGCCCGTGAAGAGGCGCATGGTCCTCGATCTCCGCCTAGGGCAATTGAGATCTGTCAATCTGTTGTGGGTTTGCCTGCCTTTTCCAGACAAATCATAAGGAGTCTGTTTTGAAAAGCATGTCCTGGAAATTTCGGCTCTCGAGCATCCTTCGGCGAGTCTTCAGGGGCAGGGTCACAACCACGATTCCTCAAGATCATCCTTCGTTGCCACACGCCCATGAATTGAGAAGGCTCTTTCAAACTGGTGGGTTTATGACTGGACCTTGCTCAAAAAAGAGGCACAAGGAAACCAATAGGGTTTGGTCGGCTCGTCCTTTTACCAACGTGTGTCGGGTGCACTCTTTTCTAGCCATACCTTTGCAAGTGCATGCCGGCAGATTTTCCAAACCCAGCCTAACCAACGCCTTTGCCAATTCAATGGCATGGGATGAGCCAGCGTCCAAAAATTTGATATCGTGCTGCTGCTCCAGTCAGTGGTCTTGGATCCCAGGACAAACAGGTTTTAGGCGAAACCATTGGATTGAATCTTTTTTTTGCAATCAAACAACAACTACGACCATGTATCCTAAGATCATTGAAGTCACCCTGATCCCTGGCTTTCCACTACAGACTTGAACTGGTCCCAGCACCTCCAGGAAGGACATGGTAGCCACCAACGCTAGGATGCCCACACAGACCTGCCAGCTGCAAGAGTGAAGCAATTAGACAACCACGGTCATTGGGTGCCTGACAAATTAAATATATATATATATAGTTCATCCCATAAATAATAGACTAAATTCAAGAGTCGGTTAGCTACAATCATATGATTTATGTGCACAACCATTATACCACTTCGTCCACCACAATATCAGGCCTGTACTGGGGTCGTTCTTCTTAGACTTAGACCAGGCGTTCTCCATGTCATTCGTTTTGAAAAGGGTTGCTTTAAGTCCTTTGAGCCTTTGCAAAGGGCTCTTCAGGCTCTTTTCAACACTTGGAAGACCAATGTGAGGGAACTCGTTTCTGCTCTCAATGACATATCCAGGGATTCTCAAAGCCTTCTTTCGAGTTGTTTATCCAAACCTAACTTTGCAGCTTTGCATTGACTTTGTGTGTGTGATGTTGCTCTCCATGGGTATTCCTGCAAAATGCGTGTTGCGCATATATGTTACATGTTGCATATCTTATATAACTCGAGGTGGTTGCAAGAGCCGGCAATGAAACCGATTTGACTTATATATACAGCAGACTGACCACCTGCAAAACCGTTTCGGAGGACAACTCGTCAAATCACAAACACAAAAACAATTTGCATTGCAGTAACACATTATTTTGGAAGGCAAGTACACCAGCATAGGTCCCAAATAACCAGGTAGAATCCAAAAAGTAGAAAAGTCGGTTTTTCCAACAAAGTGTTTCGATGCTGATGCGCTTACCCATGTTCGGAACATCGTGGTGGTTAAAAAGTTTGCTCCTTCAGCAGCAAGTCACCCCGTTCTTCTCGAAACATAACGGTGGTAAACGTGGTATGCAATAAGATGGGCACACAGTGGAACAGTACCTGAACCGACAGCACCTGCACCGACAACCTGTCTCCAAAGCCATACAATTCCAAAGACACCCCGAACAGCACCTGCACCAACAGCACCTGCCCGACACCTTGTCTCTAAAGCGCGAGCAGCCAACTCATTCTATGATTGAAGAACCCCATAGCTGCAGCTATTGCTTTCTGGAGAATACATGCGGCCGGAGGGAATTTGGGATTTCACGTCAAACATCGTGTGATTCCCCACCTTCATGGCCGTACTATCGCTGAGCCTCTGCGTCAAAGCCCACACCTTGGTCGCAGGATGGGGTGTCCTTCAGGTTCTTCGGGTCCTTGGAGTTGTCCGTGCGAGGAAGTTCAGCTAGGAAAGGAACATGTTGAAGGATGCTTTTTTAAGTAGCTGCTAGTATGGACGGAGGATAGCTCGCGCTAATGATTTGGTTCCTAGATGTTTAGGGAAACTTAAGGTTAATGTTCTCAAAACAGGGCACTGACGGCACTGACATTGAAGGTCGAGCAGACCAGGATGCGTTTAGTGCATACTGAGAAAGCAATTTTTGCAGAGGAAGAGGAACTTGTTGATGGTGAATGTGCCCAGCGGTGCCAATGAACTGTGGAGAGAGATTGCCTTACAAAGTTGTACAACTAGTTTTTGTCTCATCTTGCCTCAATGATCAAGTATAGGAGGTGTACAGGGGGGTAGGGGTACCTCCACCCCACTGCAAACTGTGGTTCTTATCCAGCTAAAGTGGGTTCCTTCATTCCTAGTCAGGATACGTTACACTGTTCAAGCTGAAGCAAGAGATACGTGACACTGAGATCTCAACGCTCCCCACATCTGATTCTAAATCTTGCCGGTGAAATTCCACCAAATGAACCCCTGGCCAAGAAGCATCAATGCATCGATGAGCGAGGGATCATCAAGTAGCGAGAGATCATCAATAAGGACGCCCATTCTCCACCATGGTTAGGTATCATTCGATGCACTTGCATGATGCAACCCTTGATTCCATGGTTCTGACCAGTTCTGTATGATAGAGCAGTACATCAGAACAAGTAGCCTTTGTGTCAAGCCATGAGATATCCTTGGTAAAAGGGCGACAAACCTGAACTACAAAGTCTGTGTAATCGAAACTGGATGCAATCGTAGATTGGACATCCAATTGAGGGTCCATCCGAAGGTTGCAACATGAGAATCACAAAGCGACCAAGTTTGCCAAGGTATTTGCAAAGACTCTGGTGGCTTTTCTCGTCTGACGTTGTCCAATAGCCAGTGCCGCCTAGTCGAGTTTGCATGAAAATGCTGCTGAAGACTTCGACGGTCAGCACGGGTTCTCAGGCAAAGCGAGCATTCCACCAAGACACAAGGAGGTTGAGGGGGGTTAGCGGTTAGCGTTGAAGCATGCTCGATGAAACCGGTATGTATTGGTCTGCCCTGTTTTTGGCAAGGGTGGGCCACCTCACAAGTAATCTTTGTACAGAGTTGCTTGCGGGCATTTCTGATCAGCCCACCATCTCAAAAAGTACATGTGACTCTCTACACTGGCTGAGTCATGGATCTGCAACAAACAAGGGGACGGAGATTCACAGATGTGCACGTACAAGATGGACATGCCTCAGATACTTGGGAGCCTGAAAAATCGCTAAATATACATGTATATTATATATAGTGCGCAACCTGCTGAACAATGTGGAAAAAAAACAGAGTCCGAAGTGCAGGGCCACATGGGTTAATTTGTCCCAATGTATATGCATTTCTCAGTAGGTTTGCTTACAACCCTGTTGGTGTTGTAGGCTCGCAACTGTACAAGAAAGTATCTTGTGATTAGACACGGCTAGCACAAAAAGTGCGAGAATGAGGCGGAACATAGGGTTCACTGCAAAGCACCAATACAACATCATAGGATTGCCAGCAGTTGTTCTCTGGCAAGAGTGTGAAAGATCTTCCAAGGTCAGGTGACTATTCTCCATGATGATGCCATTCTCATCCTGCCCACAATCCAACAGGATCTCCTTGTCCTTGCCAGTGATGCACAATGGCCAAGGTCACTGGCCCGTTTTGAATGTGGGTTAGTTTTACTTGATTCTACCGACTATATATATATATATAAGGTCTCGAACCATGAACTGAAAGGCAATGCCGACAGTCCACCAAACCTGCTTTAAGGTGGAATCACAAATCTTAGGCTTTGAGATGGTAGTCTTGAAAATAACAGGTCGTTGCTTGGCATATCAAGATCCTGGATCTGAAATCCTACTCATCTAGATTGATGCTCTATTGGCAACCAATGATCCCATCACTTGACAGTGTCATCCATCTTCTCCTGGGCCAACATTTTGACCACGTCAACCTTCTCCGGCAACGTATGCGGACATTCCTGCCACGGGCAAGGGTTGCCAAGTTCCGGATCGTCTGCCTCCAAAGATAGGGTCGGCCCTTTCTCGCCAGGTTGGTTTTTGAAAGCTTGCAGCATTCCACATGAGTAGTGTCCTAGTCTCAAATCTACGCATCATGGTATCGACAAAGCCTCCTTAGCCCTGGTGCAACCGAAGACCCACAAATCTTGAGCAAATGCCCAATATGCCCACAGAAGATCATATCTACTCCAACTCAACTTTCACTGCTGCAGCCAAATAAGCAAGGTCAACCGAGCAACCCAAAGCCATCTTTGGGATGGATCTTGTCACAGGGACTCTGACAAACATAGATCCAGTGGTGTCTTCTCTGAGCCAGCTTTTGAATTCAACTCTTGTTGGAAGATATTACGTTGCGGGTTCTTGCAAAGACACTTTCCAGTTTCATCTGCATGAGTCAAACTGCCCCTGCCTGAACTCCGACTTTGTTCATTCA